TATAACACAAATTGTGTGATTGATTACCAAAATCTTATATTTTTTTTTAAATCAGAAAACCATGTTAACTTAAAGTTGCTGTAGTTGCGTAGTATATTTTGTTTTCATATTCACCCTTTTTGAATGCTTCATAAATTGGGTTAGAAAATTACAGATTTTTCGAGTTTTTTTAACTTAAAGTATTAAACTCAAAAATTACTTGTAAAACCATTTTTTGTATTTTTGTATACTTTCAATACCCCCAGTTGAATATACACTGTATATACAGGGTGTTTAGCCCTTATTGCGCAATTTGCGGGACACACTGTAATAAAGGCTTTGCTATTTGGGTGGTTTGGCGTTAACGCGCCATTTTCAAAAACCCTGTATATCACCATTCTAAACATTATATGTGAGCTAAATTGTCTAAATCAAAAATTGTTTGTCATCAAACAGTTTTTATATTAACAAGCAAAGTTATGAATTGGTTTACACAATAATTACGGCCATTAATTGTATTAGCACTGATTTAATAAAAAAACACCGAAAAGAAATTAATTCAATCAATTAGGGCCATTACTGGATCTTGGCGAATAAAAGTTGGAAAAATAAAAATTCGTCGTCGTGCTCGTTTATTCAATTACGTTGCATTGTTTTCAGCTGGTCCCTGGAGCGACAAACGAGACTGCCCTTTATCACCCTCGTAATAACAATATTATATTACAGTCAATTTTAGAAAATATGACTATTTAATTTATTTTTAGAAAATCTATATTCTATATTTTTATTCTTTTAAAATCATTACCAGTATTTGCAAGAATACCAACTTTTCTTCTCATATTACAAGTAACAGTCGATTGTCGAAAAAAGTTAACAATTTTCTTCCAAACAGCTAAAAAAATAGGAGATAACAATAAACAATTTTTATTAAAAAAAGAAAAAAACAAAAAAAAAAAAAGATTTTTACAGAATATAAAAACACTTCGTATACACAAAAAAATATTATTAATTTTAACCAACAGATTTTATGTTTATCCAGCTCCACATAACTTTATGTTAACTTTACAACTAAGTGTAATCTGATATTTTGTAAATTTAATGACAAAATGCTATGTAAAATAATTTAACCATAATTCTTTTTATTTTCAAAAAGGACCCTACTTTTACAAACCTTTTAGTAGACCCAGTGACAAAAGTATTTGTTGAAAATTGGGAACTTACACGCGGTACAATTTCTATATTAGGCGCAATCCTTTGAATTGATTATCCTTGGTTACAGGTTACAGGATTTTTTATTTTTTTTTATAGGTAATCTCTTGCAATCTCTATATGTCGCTGCTAACATGTGTCTAATAAAAATAAAATTAAATATTGAGTTAATTTTATACGGAAAATACACGGTGAGACAAAGTTTCCCGCAACCAGGGGTTAACTTTGCACACCCAGTTTAATTTTTAAAACTCAGCCCTACGTAATATTATAACATAGTTATTATAAAAGAGCCACTCAAGACTCAAATTTTGGTATACAATATTTAATGTTTATAATTGTTAAAACCTCAAAGATTTTAATCTTAAGTTTGAAAGTGAGCTAAAGCCACCCGTGTTTACGGTACCCACATAAATAAACACAAAAATACCATACACACAATTAACACACCACTCTATAATCATCAAATTATAAAAAAAATTGAAACAATATAATTATAATTATGATTAATAATTATCAGTACTACTAGTAGTACTAAAACACTTACTTTCGTAACTTTAACCCACTTCACTGTAAACCAGTGATGGCATCTTTTTTCGGATACTTCGCACTTCGCACACTCGTTAAATAGATATAAGGAATCCGAATAACAATTATAACAGATTTCTGATGATATATTATAAACAATCTGGACAGTTTTTACGAACACGTTACGAATTAGAATAAAGTAAGTAGAAAAGTAAGTTGCAGTTGAACTTGTTGATGCGTATTGTTGTGGGGTGTTGATTGGCTGACTAAAATCACGTGTACTTTTTCAACAAAATAATCTGTAACCTTTGAAATTAACAAAATGCTATACAAAATGCATATGTCCTTTACAAAACTTTCGGTAAATTATTTTCCTAAAATAATTACACACCCTGGTTTTATACAAAAAATTATGTTTAAATTTTACAAAATAAAATAAATAAAATACAAACTCATGTTAACAAATCTAATTTTTATAACAGTGTAAGAAAAAATACCTACGGATAAATCTAAAAATATCCCGGATTCTATAAAAGTGCTTTTGCCTAATCCCAAATACAATATAAATAATAATACTTTATACCGGATAAAATTATTTTTTTTATCAAAAGAGCATAAATAGATTTGTATAAATTTTGATTTTTGGATTGATTCAAAAATCCCCTGCCGCCATAGTCCGTCACACAGTGGGCTAGAGAGCCAATTTAACGCGCAAAAATTATTTGGTTAGTACTTCTTAGTTAATGTTAATTTTTTTGGTCTTATTGATGAAATTTAAAAAAAAATATTTTTTACTACCAATAGAAAAACAAATCCACAATATAATACTTTAACAACAAAAGTATATTTGTGTGATGGCAAAATTAAGATCTATAGTTTCAATGAGTAAATTTTTTAAAACCTTATTATTGTTCATACATACATACATCAGAAATATGCAGCGCTTTCTTTATTGACGTAGTAACAGTACAATAATTATAAAAACTTACCATTATTTGTTCTAGCCATAACGTATGACAGTATTGATGATTAAAAATAAGAATAAATTAGAAATAAACATTGTAAGATAAGCAATACCGTCACGCGCAATTTACCAACACAAAGAAAGTCATTATAATTATAAAATTTGACTGGTTACCTGAAAAAAATTCAACAGTTTTTAAGGTGATTTAAAGATGTTTCATTAAAAACAGATATTAAAGAATTAAAAATTCCCTAAATCTGGTCGAAATAAAACACTTAGTTACTTATTTTGAATTTCCGCGCGCTGGAAGCGCTCTCTAGCCTACTGTGCGTCATCTTGAAAAAACCACCTGTTTTTCTTTAATAACTTACAAACCGGTTATCGCACAAAGACCAACAGACTTTTAAAACACAATTTTAGGCTTATTCTGCTCACCGATGCATTAAAAATGTTTTTTTTTTAATATATTCAAGCAATAGGTTGTAAATGTAACTCTAAATACTGGTATTTTAAGAGTCTGTTTGCCTCTGTGCGACAAACGGTTCGTAAGTTATTAATGAAAAACGTTAGGTGTTATTTTCAAGTTGGCGAGGTATACCTTCACAGGAGTTATTCGGATTGAACCAAAAAAACAAAATAAATACTATTCAATTAATGCATTTTTAATTACATACAAAAAATTCAACCGGTATAAAAGTATTGGGTTCCCTATAAAAAATCTTTACTGGCCTGAAAAGAATGTGTTTGAAATCATTTTAGTAAGCGTTTAAAGAAAATGTAACTAACCCCTTGGGTTTTACAAAATGTTACAAGAATACTTTACAAGTGAATTTAAGTCAAATATGCCTTAAAAACGTATATTCTAGTATATTTTTAAATTAAAATTGATTTTGATGTTATAATCCATATGATTGACAGTTATTTAAAACAATAAAAATATCCAGAGTATTGTTTTCGTACAAAGTAAGGCTGTCAATTCCTGTAATAGTATAAATAAAGTAATAAACGGTTAAACGGTTCGACAAGTTTTGACCGGTTTCGGATTTAACCGGATTTTGTAAATTATTATAACCGGTTCGGATATCCGGTTAACCGGTCCTATACCGGTTAACCAGTCCGATTATCTGGTTAACCGATCTGATCAAACCGAGCCGGTTAGACCGGATCGGCGGTTTAACCGTAACTGGTTTAACTGTAGCCGTCACCGGTTTAATCGTAGCAAATTCTTTGTTTTTAATAAAAAGGGATCACTTCACTAACCCTTTCACGTTTCTTTACCCGTGTCAAGCAGGCAGTTTATGCTTGAATTTTTTAAAATAGATACTTACATAATAAAAATAAAATTAGAATAATAAAAATACCACCAATTTTACTACAAACTAAAAAACAAAAACATAAACATTATTCAAGTTTCAAAATAAATTATAGTTAAGTGATAAAAAATAATAACAAAACTCCATATGTTTTATTAATGAGTTTTGATTTAAAAAAATCAATTTATCAGCTTTTTTCGGTAGCAAGCAGTTTCTTTTTGCCGAAATATGTTGCCTGCAGTAGAAAACATGAAAAAACTATCCTTATTTCTTTTAGAATGTTTATATTTATTTGTTTTTTTTTTAATAAAAATACTTTTTTTTTTACTAACTTTTAAATGTTTAAAAGCATTAATGTTTATCAATATTGATTTTTTCACTTTGATATGACATCGATATTGTGTTTTTAATATATCATTTGATGTCAATATCGATGTTTTAAGAAATTTGCGCATCCCTAGTAAGAGCTCAAACTATGACTTGTTTGTTTATGTTCCCGGTCGCACTTAACCGGTTTCAGTTACGGTTAAGCCAGTAACTGCTAAACTGGTGACAGCTTTAATCGGTCACGATTACGGTTAAACCGGTTAAGGTTAAACCGATTACGGTTCAACCGGTTAAGGTTAAACCGATTACGGTTAAACCGGTTACGTTCTTTAACGGTTTTTGGTCCTATAAAACCGGTTAACTGGATGACCGGTCACGGTTTGTTAAAAATAATGTATTAGTTAAAAAAAATGTATTAGTTTAAAAAGTGATGAACCCAATTCATTTATTAAGATTCCATACCTATCGTATCCGTTTTTTTAGTGCTTCCACTATTCGTGGTGGGTTATCCTACATTTTAGTCTTAGGAATCTCACACATAAGAAAACAGTATGGATCTAATTCGATTAATTTTAAAAAATGGTGCAAAAAGCATAACGTGCTTAATTGAATTTTTATAGTCTTTTTAAAATCGCTCGTTACCTTGCCCCACACTGTATACTAAATCATATTGTTTTTAGCTGGTCCCGGAAGCTGTGATGCTAGTGGCAGCGAGTGCTACCGGCCTCTACTACCGGCACATGACAGAGGGTGCCCATCGTCGCACCTTTGTCGGTACGAGGACGTGCATTGAATCCAGAGTCAAGTTGGAATGCGAGAAGGAGCAGCAAGAACAGCTTTTACTCAGCGTCATTCCGGCCTACATTGCTGCTGAGGTTTGTTTGTTTTAAGTTATTATTGTTTATTTAAAAATATAGTGCGTCTGGTTGACATATAATAGGCAGTAACGAAACAATCAATGAAAATGTTTATTGTTCATTAAATAATTGGTAGAATATTGCTGAAATAATAATAATAATAGTAAATGTCTTTATTAGGGTGGTTCTTATTTGGCCGATGTCCAAATTTTAATCGTGCCGCCCCCTTATTTGTTTTTAAAAAATGTATGCCAAATTTGAAAGTCCTAACTTATTTCCTTCTATTGCCTGTAACAACAAAAAGTTTTCCAAATTTTTGCCTTTGATGTATTAATTTTTTAAAATTACTATTAATCTATGAAAAAGTATAATTTTTTAAAAAATGTAGAGGATATAAGTTACTTTAAAACAAAACAAAAAAGTAATCATGTATTTGTATCCTAAGGTCTTTTTTACTTCGCTCGATTATTAATTACAGTTTTTCATATAGGGGATTTTTGCTTTAAAACGCAATAATTTTATAAAATAATTAATATTTAATGAACAATTCTAATTTTTTGAGGAAATAAATGGAAAACATGGTACTTTTAAACAAAAAAAAAGAATTTATGTATGGTCATAGTAAGGTCTTTTTTACTTTATTCAATTATTACTATTATTGTTTTTTTTATTGAAAATGGCATAAAAGAAAATAATAATAGTGATAATTTGCATTTAATGCATAATTAGTGTGTTTTGAAACGTAATTTTGTACTTTTCTAATGTTGGTGCTACCTAAATATCTTTAGATATTAAATTTTAGGAAGCACCAACATTATAAAAGTACAAAATTACAATTACGAGGTGTGTTCAGAAAATAACGGGAATTGTTAAATTTCGCGGGTTCGGAGGGTAGGTTGTCATAAAATTTTCTTTATTTTGTTGGTATACATGCCCCTGAAGTGTGATAAAAACTTTAGCTGTTTTCAACGTTTACTTTGTCTGTGGCAGCCGCTAAGGTTAGATGTGTTTTATGAGCCCGGCGATTTTCGTTCGTTAAAAGAAATGGATCAAAGAAATTTTTATCCAATTTTGCTTAAAAAATTAAATAAATTCTGTGAAATGTTAACAAAGGCCTATAGTGAGTTTGCTATAAGTAAAACAAGAGTTTACAAGTGGTATAAGAGTTTCCAAGATGGCCGTGAAGACGTTGAAGTTGACGAACGCCCAAGCACATTAACAAGCGATAAAAACATGGAAAAAGTGGAAGAAATGGTTATAAACCATCACAGAAGTCGCTGTGAAGTTGGTAAATTTTTTCGAATGTTTTGGGTATGAAACGCGTGGCAGCAAAATTTGTTCCAAAATTGTTAAATTTTGAACAACATTTTTGTCCAAAAACAATACTGTAATGATGCCCCAGCCTCCATATTCGCCAGACATGCCTCTGTCTGACTTTTTCCTATTCCCAAAAATAAAGAGATCCTTAAAGGGCCGTCGTTTTACAAGCATAGATGACATTAAAAGCGCATCGCTGAAAGAACTAAAGGCTATCCCAAAGATCGAGTTTTAGAAGTGTTTCAATGGGGACTATTTTGAAGGCGACAACATTAATGTAGACGAATAAATAAATATTTTTTTCAAAAAACGAAAATTCCCGATATTTTCTGAACACACCTCGTATGTAAATAATAAAATTGATTTTTAGATTGTTTTCGAACAATTTATTTTTAAAGAAAGTAAAATAGTTAAAATGGTAAAAAATAAACAAAATAAAACCCAGATAATTAGGTTTTTGGTATTTTAAAAATTGTTTACAACAGTCTTTTTTTTGCGTCGGGAAATGCTTTTCGAAACTCTGACACAAGCTGTACAATAATATATTATAACACCACAAGCAAGAGGATTCTTTCAGCGATGGGATATCGATGACACTTTTTAAAAAATCGATCCGACTTTGTGTCCTCAGGACGAAAATTATCAAAACTGTTTAAAAACTGTAACTCAGCTGAGAATCGTTAACGATGCTCCCGAAAGAGCATTTATTTGACGAGTATAACTCCATCATAACACACAATGAAGACCAGAAACAATTTGTTGTACAGCTTGTGACACAGAGTTTTGGAAAAGCATTTCCCGACGCAAAAAAAAAGACTGTTGTAAACAATTTTTAAAATACCAAAAACCTAATTATCTGGGTTTTATTTTGTTTATTTTTTTGCCATTTTAACTATGTTACTTTCTTTAAAAATAAATTGTTCGAAAACAATCTAAAAATCAATTTCATTATTTGTGTTCGTCCTATTGTGTAATAGTCCTTCGGAGGGGACTTTAAGCCCGCGGTCCGTTCCTACCCCTAAACCGCTCAAGCCATTCAGTTGGCTTCTGGGACTTCTTAGAAAGTAAGGGTGGAACTAAAAGAGCACTTTTGTATATTATTTACATAATTGTAATTTTGTGCTTTTCTAATGTTGGTGCTCCCTAAATATCTTTTAGGTAATCTTAAATTTTATAAAACAAATATTTAAGATTGCCTAAGAGATATTTAGGGAGCACCAACATTAGAAAAGTACAAAATTACTTTTGAAAGCACACTAATATGCATTAAATGCAAATTATCACTGATATTTTGTTTTTATATGTCATTTTCAATAAAATAATTTTTTCGCATTCAAAACAAAAAACTTTGGCGAGGTGTAGGTTCAATTTTTTCTTATGAATAAAAATAACAAAACAAGACTAACTGGACAGAAAAGATGAAGGTGGGGACTACATTTCCTGAAAGTTTCAGATTTTTATTTTTTCCTCAACATAATGATTTCTGAGGGCAAAATTGGCTAATTTTGAAAATTATCAAGTTTCAATAATTTTTTTAATAAATAAATTGATAGTCTAGAAACTTAAAATAATAGTTACGTTTTCTATTGTATAAGTACTTAATACCTGAAAAAAATGAACCTTCTAAATTCAGTAGAATAGGCACAGGAGCCAGACAAAAATCACAAAAATTGGCAAAATCATGAATCTTTAGTGGTTTACCATTCTTTTATGAGATTAACTAATTGGATAATAATAATTTATATCGAAAACACACTTACTGGACAGTAAAACAAATTTAAAATTATTTCAATATTTGTCACAGAAAAAAGTTCTGGCCCACTATAAGAGAGTAAGAAATTGACACTATTTCAGACTTCTAAGGGGTGCCAAATAAAAGTAAAGCAACAAAAAATTAAAACGGCAACGAATTTTCATATTTGACACCTAAAAGATCATCCTCAATTTTTTTCATTACAATAAAAAATCATGCAGCGCACTTTTAAATTCATTTTTGGTGTTTTCATTTGGATGAAAAACTGTAAGTAATAATCGAGCGAAGTAAAAAAGTCCTTAGGAAGAAAATACATGATTTTTTTTTTTTAAAGTAACTTATGTCCTCTACATTTTCTCAAAAAATTATACTTTTTCATAGATTTATAGTAATTTAAAAAAATTAATACATTAAAGGCAAAAAACCTCTACCTGGAAAATTTCTCGTTGTTACAGGCAATATAAGGAAATAAGTTAGGACATTAAAATTTGGCAAATGAGGGGGCGCGATTAAAATTTCGACATCGGTCAAATAAGAACCACCCTAGTCTTTATTGATTATAAAAGATACAATCAATGGGCGAAGTTCATCTTATACAAGTATATATTTGCTGCTCTTCCACTTAACCGTTTCTAGACCTAAACTTAGGCGAACCGATCCCAATTTAGCTTTGACCTAAAACCAATAAAAGAACAATAAAACAGCGGATCGATAGCAAAATCAGTTTCAATAATTTTAAATTTCAGTTAATTGGATTTATAAAAATAAACACCACCTCCCCTACCATCACGATAATGCGTTACAATCTTGTAACCCTCTATATTGATATCAACATTATTAATTATTGGTGAAAGCCATCTTTCAGATAAAGCCAATATTTTATATTTATGATCAACTAAAAGTTTTCTTACATTCATTATGTTTTGTGATCTAAGATTGAAATGGCCTTTCTTAATATTATTCATTTTTTAACAATATAAATAAATTAATTTAATAAACAAACAAAAAATAAATTTTAATAAAAAATAAGAAAAAAAGTACACAAGCGTTTAATTTGAGAGTAAAAAAAACGCAACGATTGACGCCAAGGTACCCAGTACTACTGGGCCAGTAGGTAAGGTGTTGTTGAACCAGTTAAATTAATACATTAATTTTTAAATCTATATAAATCTTCAAAAGATAAAATTTGTACGATTTTATCATTGATCTTACATATAATGTTCCCTTCAGCTGTCCACACATTTTTCACAATTTTTTGATATTTACCTATCCGTTTAGCAGTTAGATTTTTCTTAATTACCATCTTTGTGCCCTTAAGTTTGCTTTACTAAGTATCTGCAGAACCTCACCATAATCGGACGCCTTCCTTACCTTTCTCCATTAGGAATCAAGATCCGCTTTATTAAGTCCTAGTTTTTTTATCCAATATGCTTATTAAATTTTCTTGTAAGTTTTTTCTTTCCAGTTTCGGCATTCCTTAAATTCTTAAATTGTTTCTTCGGGTAAATTGTTTCTGATTATCAATTTTATTTTGTATTTTCAGCAACTAACTACTTATTGTTTCATTTTATCGACTAACTTTGAAATCAAATCCTCCGATTGAAATATCTTTTCTACCACCCGTCAGATAACATTTTCATCATCACCTTCGGTTTTACCACCTCTAGTTTTACTGTTGTTTATAAAACAAAAAATACTGGGCACACCAAATTATCAACTACTCAGCGTGGCAACTCATTTTTTCATTAATTGCGTGTCGCACATACAACATACGCTGCTAATAAGGTAAAAGTAAAAAAAAAATAACAAAAAGTATAAATTTGCTACGTCTACATAAACTAATAACTTTGTAATTTATCCATAGATTTTATCCGTAGATAATTTGAATATGGTTTTATTTCAATGACTTTTAATCATTCATTGCATTTAAACTAGTAAAGTGATTGGG